ATTGGGGGGTGGCACTGAGGTCGTGATAGTGGGGGTGAAGAGGCACGTCTCACAGTATAATATATAGCATACTTTTCTATGTATAAAAAAATTAAACACTTCCAGATACATTAAAATATCTTCAGTATCATAATATAATGATAATAATGTTTTGATGTTCATTGAAAAATAGCTCTCATTTTTTTATTATGAACCATTACATGTACCTTGAATTTTTTTTTAATACATTGATTCGGGCCTCTTACATCTCTTAACACAATCCATACATTCATCCAGTGTGTCTAGCACATTTGCACATATGCTGCCATCTTCATTTTCAAAGCATTCTCTTCTCACTTGAGCCCCTGATATCAGCTCCCCATTTACTTAAGTCCCTTTTATAAAAGGGTATAGGATTTTCATTTAACCTATACACTCCTTCCCCTTTATTTTAAATCATCTCTAGATGAGTTATAATTATATTATAATGTAAATGCTATATAAATAGTACTTTCTCTCCCTCTTAACCTTTGAGGGATTGTTTTTCCCAACTAATTGCTTTTATTTTTCTTTCCTCTTGAATATTTTCAATCCATGGTTGTTTGAATCCATGGATGTGGAACCCACAGATATAGTAGGCCACCTGTGTATTTGTTAAAGTGCTGATTGCATTAGTCTCCCAGATTTCTCTCTCTCTCTTATATATTCTATATATATTTATATTTTTCTTATATTTTTTGTATTATGGGTATTTATATTTTTCTCTCATATGAGAGAGAGAAATATGGGAGACACACACACACACACACACACACACACTCATTTGAGACCGAGCTTCAAACCTATTCTTCCTGGTTCAATCATGGCTAATGAAGCAGTTCTGAATGGACCCAAGTTGTAAAATGTGGGCATACTAGAGCAATAACTGGGATGGGAAAATTTACAGGTTGACAACATCCTGCTTCACTTCCTTCTTAGCAATTTATGCTTCTTCTGAGTCTCCCATTCCAGGGTTTTGATCCATAACTTTTCCCATTCTGGTTGTCATTCCAGATGACCTACATTTAAAAATTCAGGTCTGCTTTAATCAGTCGTGACTGAACAAGTTTGAAGCCTTAGCCACACTTCGCTGGCTTTTAGTATATTGGCAGAGTTGTGCCCCTATCACCACATTTTTGCTCTATTTCTCTTAATGGCAAGCTTCCTTCAGTCTGTCTGCTCAAGCTTTTCTAGGTTCACATGTGAACAGAGATAGGAAGGACAGTCTGCCCATTGCTGCCCAGGGACCTTTGTTCACCTTTCACTGTTTCTGCCACCGATTTTGTAGAGGCCTTATTCTCCAGACTGCGCTTCCCCCAGAACTGCTGCATTAAAGGCCTCTGAGTTACCTAGTGCTGCCATGACGAGAAGACTTCATGTTTGAAGCACAGATTGTTATTTTATTACAGTTCTGGAGCCTAGAAGTTCAAACTAGGGTGTTGGCTCTAGGAGAAGGTCCTTCTTTCCAACTTGTAATAGCTACCAGCGGTCCTTGTCATTCCTGGGCTTGTAGATGCATCTGCCTCCATGGCCACTCGGTATCTCCCCCTGGGTGTCTGTGTGTTTCTTTCCTTTTCATAAGATACTGCTCAGGAGGAATTAGGTTAAAGACCAGCCCTTCTCAGGTATGGCCTTATTAACATAAAATGAAACCAGTTTCCAAACTGGGTCATTCACTGGTACAGAGGCTGGGATGTCACCTATCTTTTGGGGGGACATAATCAATCCACAGCAGGCCTGTACCTCTTTCTGCTCCCTGGCAACCTAAGCACCAATCTGGGCTTCTCAGTCTATTTTTCCATGCAGTCCTTTCATGGTGCCCATTGTTTTCAAAATTGTATCACTATTCATCCTTTGCTTATGTCAGGGTGCCCTGCTTTCTCTTTGAACTACTTTGCCAGAAGAGTCTGAAGATGAGATCTTACCATTGGCATTTGACAACTATGGACTAAAATGAGGCAAAGGATTTGGATGCAGGTCATCATGCCCCAAACATAGGCTGTTATGGACTTCACTCTGTGTGGGAGTCTGGTCAGGAGACTTCCAGCTAAGTCACTAAGGCTGCACATGGTGGTCCACTTCCTGTCTGGGTCAGCACGAAGGCCTGAGGAACTCCAGAAGATTAAGAAGAGGATTGGACTCCCTAGATTCAGTGTCCTGTCCTACAGTGGGTTTTAAGGATGCCCATAGCTTGAGGCTCTCAGTGACATCTTAGAGGAATTCAGACTCTGAGGGTTGTGACAAAATCTAGATTCATTCTAGACTTCTCCCCACCAACTCCAAGAGTAGGGGGACTACCAGCAACCCCTGGTCTCTCACTCCCAGCCCACTGCAGTCATGTCCTGTGCACTCCTCCATTATTAAACTGAAGCTCTTCCTTGAAGGGTCCTGTGTTCTTTCTGATCATGACAGTATGACGAATGGGATGGCAGCCCTAGGTTCTCAGGGCTTGCCTCTTTGCTCTACTTGAGCTTGGTCCTGATTGGTCCTTCCTGCAGAGAGACCAGAACCCTCACATATCTGAGAGGGCCTCGGCCCTTCAGAGACGCTATCATGCCCCAGGCCTGAGACCCTCTTCTCTCTCGAATGCAGGGCCAAGGGCCAGACTCCCTCCTTCACTGCAAAGGAGAACTTTTGAGAGAAGGAACCTGTGAAAGGGTGTGTTCTTCATTAGTGGTCCTGGGAGGCTCTTGCTAACAGAAAACCCCTGAAGACATAAGATCACTGAGGCTGTAGTGCCCTGACCTTTGTCACCAACCCAGGATGAGATGGCCTTTGGAAGCTCAAAGCTTCTTCCTGAGTTGCTGCAAAAGTCTGACCACCACAGTATCAGATTACTCAAAATTATATTTGGTATTTGGGAGAATTTTCTATCCTAATTGTGTGAGCAGTGATAAATCAGAACCTGAAGTGGGAAATTATTTGGGGTTTATGTTTTGAACAGAAAGTATATGATGCTTATATTTCATTTATAGGAGTGGCAAGGAAATTACTGCACCAAAAAGAAAAATGGAGATAACATACAACAACATGTGAAGATAATACCTGTCATTGGACAGGGGGGGTAAGTGGGAAAACAAGCACTTAAATAACTTTACTGTGTTTGGAGTTCCTGCAAAATTTGCTTTGACTGCTTACAAACTATTTGAAGAAGTCCAGGAGGAGGGAGGACACCTGCAAAGTCAGGGTGTCATTGAATGGTCTCCCAGGGTGACTTTAGCTTGGTGGACTCCACCTGGAGGCCCAGAGCTGCAGATCAGGCCAGTCCTGCTCTAGCCCCATGGACACACCAGAGGCTGGTTTTAAAGCTGTGGGGCGAGAACTCTGACGTAGGCTCCCGTTGCTTGAGAGATTTGGGCAGATTATTCACCGTAATATATGATATTCTGATTTAAACAAGAACCTCGGTAGCACAAATAGCTAGACCCTCAGTTATTAGCCAAAAACGGTGACAGTTCAAACCCACCCAGAGGTGCATTAGAAGACAGGCCTGGCAAGGTCCTTGTTAAAGGCCAGAGCCCTGACAATGCCTTGGGATGCAGTTCTGCTCAGAAACACACAGGGCGCTGTGAGTCCACGTAGACTTGACAGCAACTAACAAGAACAGTGTGGTGTTTCTGCAGATACCTATCAACTTAGATAAAACCTCTCAAATACTAATATTCATGGTATTGTAATGTAAATTACATGTGACTATGGATTGGAAAGTGATATGCATTAGGAGTTTAAACATTTTTATAAGATTATTTTAGAGTCTAAAAGAAATGGTATGAAAAGAAGAAAATGATAAGCATAACATTTAGAGTACCAACAATAAGATATGATACCATTGGAAGCGATGGAATGTAGAAAATTAAATCATGAGAAAAAATGCTTATGATACGATCTTAAATGCAAGGAGCACAATGTAAAATGATGGCTCTGTATGATCTCAGTCAGGAAAATCCATCGTGAAAATGAAAGATGGGGGGAAAGAACAGGAACAAGTATGGCCATGGTGGCTTCCATGTCTGTCCTGTTGGTCGAGCTTTGGCTCTCTCTGGACAGGCTGTCATCACTTCATTTCATCCTGACTGCAGCCCTGTGTGGTCGGCACTGTGTCCACCTCAGTTTTACAGATGAGGAAACAGGCTTCAAGAGGTGAGGTTTCTCCCGCAAGGTCTGGCTGCCGACAAATGGCAGAGCCAGGCTACAGATCTCAGCACACACGTGCTTTGTCACCAGACTTCTGTCAGGAGCCAGCTGGTGACTGCTTCAGGGAGCTGGATCTGTAGGCTCTCTGTTCTCAGTCTTTGCCCTTTTATGCCCTTTCCACCTCCCAAAAAATGTTTTTTATAAGTCTATAAGGATTTGATTATTGGGGGAAAACATGCATAAAAGGAAAGCACAATAAATCAATCTGAGATAAGTCACAGCAGCTTTTGAGATAAGCCCTCGACGCTTTGTGTTAGGTTCCCAGCTAGTGAGTTAGATGTGAAAACTAGCCATTGATGTGGCCACTGGTTGTTTCCATGAATGACTAGGAGCAGCTTGGTTGTTGGAACTTGAAGAACATCAGTATAAAGGGTTGTGGAAAGAAAATCATGATAAGGAGCTAAAGGTTAACAAGCAGTATATCTTTTTAAACATTGGAGTTTGGGGGTTTGTTTTACTCAACTGTTGTGGTGACTTTTAGAATGTGTTTTTTGTTTTTCTGAAGAGTCACTTTTCTACAGAGATGCCACAAGATATCAATAGTCTGTAGATACTTCTTCCTTTATTGGTGGCCTTGGCCACAGGTAATAGAAGAGCTATCCCCAAAGCATTTTGTGTGAAGGGGAGGGGCTCTTTTCCTAAAGAAAATTAGCTACGTGTTCATCAAGTTAGACAAGCAAGGAATAATGCATTGTTTTCCACTTGCAGAAAAATTAGGCACTATGTGTCCATTATCAGAGTGTGCAATGGCAGCAATAAGGTATGTAAAGAGGGGGACCGTGGTGCACCCTAGCAAGATTTTTCTCTTATTGTATAATAATTGGAAATAATGACTTTTAAAATTCATTTTTAGGCTGAGAAAATAGCTGAATGTGTTCAGCCAGAAGGTCTTTCAGGTAAGTGTGCCCTGCAACAAGTATGGCCATGGTGCCCATACTCATTCTTAGGGGTCATCAAGCATTTGAGAGGGTTAAAAAAAAAGACACGAGATGAGCTTGCCTGGTGCAGAAATGGAGCTCTGTCTTCCCGGCACCATGGCAGCATTTGTTGCCATGTCTCCTAAGCTGGTTTGTGAGTTGAAAGACCCAAGGATGAATGGGCAATCTGATACCTACCTGCATTTGCCGGGGCCCTGGTCAAGTTCTGCCAATTCTAGTGCTGTGCTCAGGTTTTGGGGAGAGAACTGGCCCCCTCAAGTACATGCAGTTATGTGAAGATGTGTAAAGGGTGGTTTGATAGCCTTATCTATGCCTTCAGAGGCAAGGCGTATTGGACATCTGGCTACAGAACTTTAGCAGACACCTCTTCATCTCCCCCCTGAACTGTAGTCACCAACAGCCCCAGAGAAGGAGCTGGACCCACCAGACTTGTTCTTTCACTTCATGTTCTTTCCTTTGAATCACCAACTGCTCATGTTCACATACATGTTAGGCAGATGCTTTTCCGTGGCTTGGAATTGCCTGGTTTCTTCAAACATATGTCATGGTGTCAGCAAGCCACCTTCCTGGGTGACTGGCATGGGGCTATGATGGTGAAGGTTCCTTATTCCAGCTCGAAACTGGAGCTTCTCCATCAGGTGCCTGTCTGCCATGCCAGCCTTGAGCCCTGGTTCCCAGCTGCTCTGTGGGAGTCTCCAGGGAGAAGACCTTGTCTGCTCCTTTTATGTGGTTGGTGATGTGCTTCCCCAAGCATTCACTAAGTACACGGTACTATACTGGCTGTGTTACGTACTTTGTTTTACTGAAGCCTTATAATAACCCAGCGAGTCAGGCACTTTATAGACAAAAAGTTCCTCTTGTACACGGACACATAAGGAAACCGAAAGGCAAAATAATTTCCCCAAAGACAGCCACCTAGGACATGGCAGAGCTGGTACTTGAATCCGAAACAGCTGACTTGAAAGCTCTGAAGCACATGCGGGGACAGTTCCTCTGGGGCCTGTAGTATTAAATTTAAAAAATTAGCGCGGGTGGTAGGGGGACCAGCCCCCACCCCTGCTACTACTATTACTACTACTCAGATTCAGTAATGCACAATTGTACGGTTGAGATATATAAGCATTATATTAAAGTCATCGAGAGCATGAGAGATATTACAATAATACAGTCAGACACATTACATGATACCATCGCTCACCTCAGCCCAGCTTGGTGGTCCACATGGAGAGAGGGGGAAGGGAAGGAGGGTAAGGGAACAAGGGAGAGCGGAGTAACCAGGGAGTGAGCAGCAAGGAGCTCAGAGAGAGAGAGATCCGCCTCTTCTATATTGCTGACTCGTGCCTATATAACTTTTGGGGGCATGCCAGCCCACTAATTACAGGTAGAGACATACGTCACAGGGAGGGGTTGCACTATAGGCTACACAGCAATGAGGGTGGTCTAAGGGGTGGTCTCTGGGTCTCCATAGGAACCCTTATCAGTAGGGTGCAAACCCCTCCTACAGGAACCAAGCTTCAGAGAGTAGTCCATTGTCTCCAGCAGCAGGGAGCAGGCCCACCCCCATGGTGGGATGAGACAACGGTCTGGCAGCAAGTATCTGACTTTCCCCCACAGGGGCCCAAGAATAGTCTGTGTGAACAGATGTTCTAGAAATGTCTGGAGTAGCTACTGTGTACCAGAACGCTGTGCTTTGTGAAGAGGTTAGGATTAAATAAGCAAATGTTGCTGGTCAGCAATGGTGTTAGTAAATAACCCAGCAATGGTATTAGTAAATAACCCAGATGGTCGAAGGGTGTGGGAACTTTGATGCTAGCTAGGAGAGGCATGGAAAAGGCCGACTTCTAGAGACCACCTCCATGGAGGAGGGAAGGAGGAAGCAGAGCTGAGAAGTGAAGATCAGCCCGGGAGAGTGCCACTGACTCCCAGGGAAGGAACAGTCAGGCAGACGGGGCACAGAGACAAGGTGGGCAGTACAGAACACCAATAGATGGGCTTCCCATTTAGTACCCCACGGCTCTTTGGTGACCTGTAGAAGTATGGTTTCAGGAGGGTGGAGAGGGCAGAGCCACATGGCAGGGGATGATGAGAGACAGAAGTAGCTGCAGCCAGTGCAATACTCTTTATTCTGCAAGGTCATAGAGTACCTTCCCTTGCATTTTCTAATTCTTCAGAAGAGCCCTTTAAGTAGGCATGGCTGTCACTATTCCTTATTACAGAGGAAGAAACTGAGTCTCAGTAAGGTTCAATGTCAGCTTAAAATCAGGCAGCCAGGAAATGACTGTGGTTGGGCTAGGGGAGAGAATCAGTGACAGAGAAAATTTAGTCAAGATGACTAGCTGAGTCCTGTGGCCATAAAGCTGGCTCTTCTGCTGCTGTGAAAGGAGGAGATTGAATAGCCAACCAGTCAGCACTAACTGATCAGTAAAATGACAAATAGTGTCGCACAAATGCAGCTTGAGAGATTCTTCCCTTGTCTAAATTTTGCCATTTTCCTTGAGATCAGTGATCGATAGCGACTTCAGAGTTGTTCCCAACAGGCCTGTAAACAGGGAAGTGAAAGGGGTCAAGCAAACCTTAGAGATACGGTAATGGTGTGGGTAAATGAGAGTGAGAGTGAGAGAGACCAGCTGAAAGACTCTGGATTCACACAGTAAACGTTAACAATCTCAACATCCTTGGGAGTTGTTATGGTCAGTAGGACCTAGGAACCATTATAATGTGGGAGATTAAGGAGAATAAACTTGAGGATGATGTCAAGATTTCTAGTCTGACTAGTAGATGACATTACTTAAAATAGTGCAGGAGAAAGGAAGAAGTCTGAATAGGGGCAGATTTTGAAACGATTACAGCTCATGTGCCTGGAACATTCCAGTGGAACTCACTCAGTGCCTCTGTAGACAAAAGACATGACTTTTGAAATCTACTTCCTGTGTAGATTACAACTAGGCAACCTAATACCGTCAACTTGATTCCAACTCTTAACCTCAATAGAGGGTTTCTGAGACAGTAAATCTTTACAGGAGCAGAATCTTCATCTGTCCCCCAAGGAGTGGCTGGTAGGTTTGAACTTCCAGTCTTGCAGCTAGAAGTCCAGTGCTTAACCCATAGCACCAGTAGGTCTCTTCCTGTGAAGATTATAGCTTAGAAACCCCCTATGGGGTGGTCCTTCTACATTAGATGGTTTCACTGTGAATCAGAAGTGGACTCTGCAGTACAACAAGGGACTGGGGAGGGGAATATAGTAGGTGAGGAGATGGTCAGGAATGGCACTGCCAGTGATGTGACAAGCTCTGGTTGAGGTGGTATGGAGTGGGTTCAGGCTTCAGTGTATGGTACAGGTGTTCTGCTGTCAAGGACAAGGCCGTTGATACAGACACCATAGACAACTGAAAGGATTTTGAGCTTTACTCTGCCAGGAAAAAGTGAGCTTCTGAAGGAGGTGGAGATAGTTACTGGTATCTGATGTTGTCGAGTGTCCCAGGAGAATGATGCCTGGTAGGTGGCTGTTGACTGGGTAGTTTGGGTGTGAGTGGGGGTTGGACAGAGGGTGGTTCTGGTGCAGAGCAAGCACTCAGGAACACTTGAAAAGTAGGAGTGTTTAAGCAAGTGTTCTGGAAGTCTGCTATGTTCTGGCAGAGTGACTTCGGGTCTCAACTTTGTGTAATCCGTGGAGCTCATACTATCAGGCCACAGAGTTAAAGAACAGCGTCAAGTCCTGTTGGTGAGCGATGCTGAACACTTACCAGTTCTCTCGTTGCCACCCCGACTGCTTCTCCAGCGTTCCTTGGATTTGCTTTGCAGGCTTAGAAAATGCTGCTAATTTTACTTTACTAGAAAGACATAAGTTGATGTATGGATTGTTATAAGAGCTGTAAGAGCCCCAATCATATGATTTATTAAAATAAATAAAAAGATGTTTAAGACTCCCATTTCACAAAATATGAAACCAAGAACAGTGACATGAAATCACAAATCATGCAGAGTGCAGGCCCCAACTTATAGAAGCCTTTTTAGGATTCTGTCCATTTCCCAGCCAAGTACCTCTCATTAACCCATATTGGTTGAGCACTCACTGAATATGAGACGCTGTGCTCTGGGCAATTTCAGGCGCTTTCTGTCTTGGTACAGCCATCAACCTGACAGTGATCATTCTTGCTCTGAACATTCCCTGAGTGCATCTATGAGAGCCAGGATTGAGATACAGTCACCCCACTTGCTGAAAGTAGCATCATGGTGGTGCTGGGTGGGGTTCAAGTTTTCTTAAGAATTATCGGTAAAGTGTACAGGGACTCCGAGTAAGAACAGTGATCTTAACAGGGCTGCTGGGAGCAGAAAAATCTAGTATTGACAGAGAGGTAAAGCAACTGAAATTTTAAGTAGGAAGTAAATCCCTTTTGTCTTCCTCTAGTCTTTAGTTTTATTGTGGTAAAATATATATAATATCTGCCATTTTTTACATGTATAATCCAATGACATTAATTATTATACTCACCGTGTTGTACAGTCATCACTACTGTTCATTTCCAAGTTTCTTCATCACTTTTTTTAAGATCATTTTATTGGGAGCCCTTATAGCTCTTATAACAACCCATACATTAATTGTATTGAGCGTATTTGTACATATGTTGCCATCATCATTTTCTTTTCTTTTTTTAATCATTTTATTGGGGGCTCGTACAATTCTTATCACAATCCATCC